TACTTCCTCCTCAAGCTCACCTATAAGACCTCCTGCACTTCACCATGGACCGGAAGACCTGTTCAGGACACCCTCTCTCTGCAGGAAAGAGCTTTTCTCGTTCTTTCATCTTTTAAACCTCTGCTCTTAACCTCATTCCTTGTGTGTTCGTAACCTTTATTTCCTTGGTGTGAGGCAACGAACCTCGGGTATTACCCCAGACAAATGACGCTGCGCTGCTTCACGCGGGAGCAGGGGGAAAGGGGAGGAGGTGGTGCCTGCCCACAAGGTGTTCCTACTGGACATTGGCTTACCTCTAGATGCCTCCGCCAGGCCTGGCTCTCTGCTCAGAGGCTTACAGACAAGCCTCGGCTGCTGCCAAATCGTCACCCTACTTGGAGCTGCAGCATCTCTGAACTAGTGCATTCCCCTGAAGTTGAACTGACCCCAGGACATGGAGTCTTTCAAAGAAATGAGGTTGCTTTGCCTCTATGGAGGTTCAAGGTGGAGCTGCCTCCTTGGTCACCAGGCCCATGAGAACCAGCAGTGTGTAAGGCAATGTGAGTGTGTGAAGGAACGTGAGTGTGTGTGGGGGTGAGTGTGGTATATAGTAAGACAGAAACACATCGCCAGTCTTTGTACCCAATCCTGGCACAGAGCTTCAAAAACCCTTGGAATTTCCTGAGAGATGAGAGTGTTTTTTATTATTCATAATGAGCCCGTTTTGACCTAACCTGAGTTTCTGCTATTAAACAGGGACTTCTGGTGGGACCTTAGATTCAAGGGAGGGGCTGGCCACACAAAGACTAAGCACTTGCTTAGAGGGTTGGAACCTTCAGCCCCACGTGTGACCCCCAGAAGGGGACTGGAGACTGAGTTCAATTACATGGCCAATGATTTAATCAATCATGTCTCTGAAATAAAATCTCTGGACTTTCTGGCTGTGCTGGGAGGAAGATGCACCCAGCTTCTAGGAGTGTCAGCTACTTGGGAGTGTCACCAACCTTGGGATTTTTTGGAGCTGTCCTTACCCCCTTACTTTGTTTTGACATTCTTCTAAATCTAATAACCTGATTTGTCTCCAGCTGATCCTCAGTGAGAGATGCCATCCCCTCAATATTCAAAAGTCACCCTTCTGGCCAGGCACAGTGGCTCATGCCTGTAATCCCAGCCCTTTGGGAGGCTGAGGCAGGTGGATCACTTGAGGTCAGGAGTTCGAGACCAGCCTGGCCAACAAGGTGAAACTCCGTTTCTACTAAAAATACAAAAATTAGTCAGGTATAGTGGTGCACGCTGTAATCCCAACTATTTGGGAGGCTGAGGCAAGAGAATAGCTTCAATCTGGGAGGCAGAGGTGGCACTGAGCCAAGATTGCACCACTGTACTCCAGCCTGGGTGACACAGCAAGACTCCATCTCAAAAAAAAAAAAAAAAAAAAAAAAAAGGGTCACCCTTCTACAGGAGACCACTAGACTTCCCATCAGTGGGACATAGCAGAGGCAAAGTTCTGCCCATTTCCCTTTGACCTGGCTGGATACTACTTTCACCAACCCACGGAGCCACCCTGCCTGGACAGCTAGCAGAGGCCAAGACCCACAGAACAACCACCACCGCCCCTCTCTATAACTGCAGGAAGCAGTTACAAAAGACTGACCATCCATTTTCCCCAAGG